ATAACACTAACCTTTAATCACTCAGTTAAGAGGCATTATTTGCTCCAAATAATTTAATTTCCCCAAATATGTATAAGAAATTCTGTCTCTTTATTTCAATGCTATGATACCTCAAACACATAAAAATATCCCACCCTCCTTTTTTTTTTTAGATTTTCTTTGATCTTGCTATGTAGCTCAAACTAATCTTAAACCTAATCTTAAACTCACTATGTAGAGACTATGTAGTTCAAACCAGTGCTGAACTTAACAACAATTCTCCTGCCTCAGTCTCCCAAATGATAGGATTACAGGCATATGCCACCACAACCAGCTTAAAAACATTTCTTAACTGTAGCTGGAGGGTAGTAGCACAGGCCTTTAACCCCAGCACTCTGAGGCAGGCAGATCTTTGTGAGTTCGAGGTCAGCCTGGTCTACAGAGCTAGTTCCAGAACAGCCAAGGTTTTACAGAGAAACTCTGTCCCCCCAAAAAAACAACAAAATATAAATAAACAAATACATAAAATGACTTCATATTCATTGTTGCACATTTTACTCTGAACATGTGTTATTTACAACGCTAAATCTGTAAGAATTTGTTCAGTCGGCAATTCACTAAAATTGGAAGCTGGAAACATCAATTTCCTTAAGGGGCAACACTAACTTTAAAAAAGAACACTGTCACTTTTCAGAAGTAGGGGGGAGGCAGATGTCCGTTTCCTGACTCGAGTCTCACATTTAATTCCCCACCAGGAGTTCCACCCTCCAGCACGGAAAAGCTGTGATCCCAGCAAGCAAGCGCCATACCCGTGCATGCACTCACGTGAAAACATCACACACACTAAATTGCACTGAGGCCGCGACAACATGCAACTTAGTAATGTGCAATATCTCCACCAGAGCAAGCAGAATGGGAGCATCGGGGAGGAGGGTGTGATGTGTGCATTCGGGAGACAGCATGCTGCTGGGGGGCAATGGCTGGGGACCCAAGATGCATGCCACTCACTCAGAGACCCGAGACGAGATGAAAACTCAATGGCGAGTGACGCAATTTGAAAGACCGTGGACTTAGAATTAAAACGATAAGATCCAAATGTCAAGGCGGCAGCGATGACAAATGAATCACACAGGTCAGAGGGCAAAGCTCCAGGGACACACTTCCGTCTATCATGCAGTGAGCCCCCCATCTCATCCCACTTGTAATTCATTAAAGGATCATATGAAATTCATTTAATGACGTTTCCCTCGACCATACGCACTGATGAGCAGTAACTTATTTATAAAATTGGATATCACTGAGCATTTGCAGAATGCACTGCAATTTTCGTAATTGTTTAGCTATTCTTCATAATCTTTATCTGCAAAGAATTATATTCCCACTTAAACAAAAATTGTTACTTAGGCTCTTAGACATGGCTCACTGTCATCTTCGCTCCTGACGACGCCCGACAGCCCGTGCAGAGCCTGAACTTGAGTCTTTGCTATAAGCTTGTAAAGAAACAGCACACAGGAGCCTGCAAAAGCCCACTTAGTCACAGCTGAAAATGGGTTGCCCAAGATTTAAGGCCACCTTCCAGACCTAAGACGACAACAGTGCTGATACTAACCCCCCCTCCCCTCACCAAACAATGAAACCTGACATGGTACTCGGGAAACAGACAGAGAGGGGAGGATATCAAGTTCAAAGCCAGCCTGGGTGACAAAGCAATAGCCAGTTCCAAAGAGACAGGAGAGAGGCTGGGGTAGGGAGAGTGCAGAAGCATCCTGCATAAAATCAAGCAACTCAGCGCCAGTCAGAAAGTTGCTCTCTCTGGGAAAGCAGCATAAGAACATTCCAGAATTGAAATCTGAGGAAGGCAAAGCTTCTGTGAGAACAAGGGTGCCAAGGGAGGCTCCGGAAGGAAGCTAGAGCACTGCTGGTCGTCCTGGGCACTGCATCTGTCTCCCCACGCAGCCTGGCCTCAGTCACACCGCCAAAGGGACTGGGGCAGCCTCTGAAAAGGCTATCTCAACGGCTTACGCTACTGGGAAGACAGGAGGGTTATTTTGGTTTTTCTGTTGTTCCTTTTGGTAGAAGAATATTTGCAAAAGTTTTTGTTTTAAAAAAGCGGATAAAGAAAAGATATATACCTATTGTTCCAATGTTCAGCATTTTATCCATCCAATAAGGACGCCAGAGGTCACACAAAACTTGGAAGGGCTGTTAAAATTCTCTAGCAACAATCACTTTCGAAGTTGGCAGTCAGGCAATACACTCCCAACATGGAATCTTCACATGATGTCCACACAGACGCTCAAAGGTCCCAGATGGGCAATGAGAGCACTTTTTCACAATGCCAAGTGACCCGTGGCTCTGTGGATCAACAGATGGTGCACTAGACTTCTAGTGATGGACAGCATGCCAATCAAAGAAGGAAAACCCTGGAAAAGGCCTTCCCAAGCTTCCCAAGCAGGAATGACACCTCCAGGCACGACACACTTTAGGGATCAACACACGTTTCTGCAATATAACTGAGGGTTTCCAAAGGCCATGGTGGCTGTCTCCCTAGCTGTTCCGTGAGCACAGTGGAAAGGTAGCCAGGAGAACGCAGACAGGACTGCCGGGTCAGCTCATGGTACCCGTGGACGACTAGTTCCAAACAATGCCACCCTTTGGAACTATGTGGAGACAGAAATGATAAAGATGCCACTATGCAACTGAGTTTAAGACCACTTAGTTAACGACTTGGTGTCACTGAACATTACCGAATAAACTGCATTTTTCATAATTGTCTACTCTTTAGTAGAAAGAAAGAAGGGTCTGATGGGTGGCAGAACTATTTACTGCAAGTAGTTAGGTATCCACAGAAATAAAACTACATCATCCTCTTACTGGGCAATGAGACCCAGGGCAAGGAAGGAGCTAGATGGAAAAATGGGAAAACCTTATCAAAAACAGAGGGAAAAGAAGGACCAAGGAGCCTAAGGGGGAAAGCGGAAGAATCTGTTAGAAACCAAGCCTGCAATACATGGGCTCTAGAGGCTTCATGGAAGCTTTTGGCCAGATACAATGCAGAGACTTAGAGATAACTCAACACTGCATTTCTAATAACCATCCTATCCCTGAAGAGGGCAGAGCTTGGAACAACAAGAGAGATGAAGGAGGAAGGTCATCTACCCACAGCCTAGATCCAAGTTAGAACTCCTGAGAAAAGGGTCCCAAGGAGAAGATTGTGTGACGGGAGACAGGGGTTCTCTCAAGGAGAAGAAGACTGTGTGAGGGGAGACGGGGGTTCTCTCAAGAAGACTGTGTGACGGGAGACGGGGGTTCTCTCAAGGAGAAGAAGACTGTGTGACGGGAGACAGGGGTTCTCTCAAGGAGAAGACTGTGTGACGGGAGACGGGGGTTCTCTCAAGAGGAGAAGACTGTGTGACAGGAGACAGGGGTTCTCTCAAGGAGGAGAAGACTGTGTGACGGGAGACGGGGGTTCTCTCAAGGAGAAGAAGACTGTGTGACAGGAGACGGGGTTCTCTCAAGGAGGAGACTGTGTGACAGGAGACAGGGGTTCTCTCAAGGAGGAGACTGTGTGACAGGAGACAGGGGTTCTCTCAAGGAGGAGACTGTGTGACAGGAGACAGGGTTCTCTCAAGGAGGAGAAGACTGTGTGACGGGAGACGGGGGTTCTCTCAAGGAGAAGACTGTGTGACAGGAGACAGGGGTTCTCTCAAGGAGGAGAAGACTGTGTGACGGGAGACAGGGGTTCTCTCAAGGAGGAGACTGTGTGACAGGAGACGGGGGTTCTCCCAAGAGGAGAAGACTGTGTGACAGGAGACGGGGGTTCTCCCAAGGAGGAGACTGTGTGACGGGAGACGGGGGTTCTCTCAAGAGGAGAAGACTGTGTGACGGGAGACGGGGGTTCTCTCAAGGAGAAGACTGTGTGACGGGAGATGGGGGTTCTCCCAAGAGGAGAAGTGTTAAGAGAAGCTTTTTCTTTGCTAGCCGCTTTGGTTTATCCCCCGCCAGTCGCCTGGGCTCTGCCGCGCCAGCCTGGTTCTAGATCCGCATGAGTCCCAAATAAACACACAGGAGGCTATATTAATTATGAAGCTGTTGGCCTTGCTTGTCCCTTACTGGCTAGCTCTGCCTTAAGTAATTACCCCATAATTGTTAATCTAAGTATGTTTCTTACCAGAGAATAGTTCCCGGCTTCCTACCCCCATGGCGTCACATGTTGACTCTCTTGTGTTTCTCCTACCCAGAATCCTCCTGGATTCCTAGCCCCACCTATCTAGATTCCTATTGGCCAGACAGTGCTTTATTAGCATAAGACTTCCCCAACAGAGAAGACTGTGTGACAGGAGACAGGGGTTCTCTCAAGGAGGAGAAGACTGTGTGACAGGAGACAAAGGTTCTCTCAAGGAGGAGAAGACTGTGTGACGGGAGACGGGGGTTCTCTCAAGGAGAAGACTGTGTGACAGGAGACGGGGGTTCTCTCAAGGAGAAGACTGTGTGACAGGAGACGGGGGTTCTCTCAAGGAGGAGAAGACTGTGTGACAGGAGACAGGGGTTCTCTCAAGGAGAAGACTGTGTGACAGGAGACAGGGGTTCTCTCAAGGAGAAGACTGTGTGACAGGAGACGGGGGTTCTCTCAAGGAGGAGAAGACTGTCTGACAGGAGACAGGGGTTCTTTCAAGGAGGAGAAGACTGTGTGACGGGAGACGGGGATTCTCTCAAGGAGAAGACTGTGTGACGGGAGACGAGGGTTCTCAAGAGCAAGTGACATGATGATGGTATCCAGACTAAGAGCCTATTGGTGAAAAGCCCAACTGGAGACAGGCAGCAGAGTGGAGTGGGAAACCCCTTGGAACTTTTCCTCGAAGCACACGCACAGTTTCTAAGACCTCCTCAAAGTGAGACAAGGGTCTTGAAAACACCAACATCCTTCACTAGTTCAGCACTGACCATTTCTGTAAAACACGAGGAAGGTAGCCACAGAGAGCTTACGGAAGGAGCAGAAACAGCATAAGCCTTGTCCCTACCTGATAGCTTCTTCCACAGACTGGCCAATAATATTAGAAGAAGGGCCTGGCTGGGACAGTGGTGTCAGGCTTATCACCCACTTCACTGGCTTGTAGTACTCATCACTGGAACTTAACAGATAAAACAGTGTGGTCAGGAAAATTATCTGCAAAACAAAGGACAGCATCTCCTAAAACATCACGTTTGGGAGCCCACAGAAGACACACACACACATGCATGCACAAGTACAGAGCCCAGGGGGAAAACACCGCAATGCACAAGGAAATACAGCGTGTGCCGTCTAGATGCACGTACCAGGGAAAGCACGAAGTTGAGAAGGGCGGTGCCGCTGTAGAAGAGGATGGTCAGCAGCGTGGTGACCGTGGTGAACAGTAAGCTCACATTCCGGCTCATGACAATCCACAGGGACTCCAGGATCTGAGGGAGAGGAGCAGCAGCAGTCAGAACTAGTCCTCAAGAAGGAAGTGGCTACAGCCATCTACTGCACTGTCTTATTAGCAACAAAAGAAAAGGTTAAAAAAAAAATTGATGCTTACCTTAAAGGTTTTAAAAAAAAAAGCGACCAGAAACGTCTGTAGGAGGAAGTCTATGCCGCCATGAAACATGTGACTTACTAGAGGCGCATACAGATGAGGTAATAAAAGGGCGGTTTACCACACCGCTAACCACACCCACTTTAGGCAGGACTAAAGACGTATACGGCTGGACATAAAGACGTATACGTATGTAGGCAGAACTACGTCACTAGCCAAGCCCACTTTTGGGCATGGCTAGGGGCGTTACTGGGGAAGGCATAAAAGACAGCGCACAGGAAGTCTCGCTCTCTTTTCCTGGAGTTCGGCTTCCGGTCCAGTCGCTAGCGGAGATCTGCTGGGCTTCTCGGGGTTTGGTATCTTGTGAGTAATTTTCTATATAAAATACTTAGCCTTATTTTCAGTAATTGTGTGTCGCGTATCGTTACAGCGTCCGTAAAGCCAACAAACGTCTATATTGAGTAGCAAAGAAAATGGCTAAGTACTTACAGTGAATCCACTCCAAACAACATTTCAAACAGGAAGGCAACTATCAGAGACATTTTACTGTATTATGTTGGTTTTTGTTTGGTTTGGTTTGGTTTTCCAAGACAGGGTTTCTCTGTGTAACAGCCCAGGCTGTCCTGGAACTCGCTTTGTAGACCAGGCTGGCCTTGAACTCACAGAGATCCACCTGCCTCTGACTCCTGAGTGCTGGGATTAAAGGAGTACACCACCATGCCCAGCTTCTCTTATGCTGTTCTTAAAACACAGCATTTTTATATATTCTACAACTTTTAACTGTAAAAGACAGAACACACATGTACGTCTACAGAATAATACGTGACTACACCCTCTATGGCTCTACTCATTTTGGAGAGTTGTAAGTACAGGTCACTCATTAGATTAGCTGTCTATCCTCTACCCTTACTATCTCCAAGTCAGATTCAACTATAAATATAATTATTATTCCAATGACTTGAAATCACAGAGGAAATAATCGAACAGACAGATTCAATGACAGAGCCTTTGCAGGGGCAGACCAAGACTAAATGGCTCATCTAATTACTTATAAACTCATGAGACCAGTTATTAAGAAAGTTGTGCACACGTTAGATGCAACATATGACTAAAGGAAGATGTCATTGTCTCAACACACCCCCATGCTTTTATTTCCTGCCCCTTCTCAACTAAAACCCCTTATAACGCTGTTCTATTCTTCCCAAGGAGGTTCTTAAAATCCCGCCGTTAGGGGCTCCCGTGAACAGTGCTGTGAGGGAAGCAACGTGAGGGGGCTTTTTCTCAACTTCACAGACACAGGAACTCAATCCGAGGTCTGCTGCAGCTGGGATGGCAACCCTGGCATCTGCATTTCGCTTCTATGCGAGGCCTGACCATTCCTTTCCCACCTCAAGCGCACCATTTATAAAGGACATTCTGTTGCACTCAGAATGCCTTGCAAGCCTCTGTTCAGTCTTCACAAGAGAATTCAACAGGCGAGCTTCATTTACAAAAACTCCTTACAAAAGATTTTGAAAATACTTCGTTATGCCTACAAAAATATGCACGATTAACTGTTTGACCTTGTGGGATAAAGAATGAATGAACAAAGCCATTGATTCTAAGAGACAATGCCTGCATTTGTGATTTGGCAAGCATCCTTCTGGGGGCCTCTCTGGAATTTTTAATAAAAAATTTACATAGTTTCTGAGTCACAGAAATAGAAAACACCCTCCTGTAATTCTTAAGAAATAAACTGAATACAGCAATTGTAGACTGATAGTCTCCAACAACAGTCCAGTAACCATTTTCACTTGAGAGAGATCAAATAGAGAGAACAGCTGTGGAATGTTAACCCGATCATCAAAGGAGAGCTTTTGTTTAATCACCGGGCTTGGAAAGGAGGGTATCAGCACAGGCAGGATCAGAAGAAGCCCACAAAACTCAGAAAAATGCAACAAAAAATGCGTTCCCAACTCAAATAATGCCAAACATGACCCATGGCTGGCATTAATTTAATCAGCAGAGGCAACATAACCAAAAGGATGCCGAAAACCAAGTCCCTGGCCTTGAGGCCGGAGGACACTGACAGTCGGTTAAGAAAACTGGTCGCAGCAGACAGTCAGAATTAACACGGGCCTCAGCATCCTCCTGCTTTGCCCTCCCTCAGGTCTACTGACATCCAATCACCCCTGGCTCTCATTTGGCTTCTTGGGTACTTTGGAGCTCTCCTGCTATGGAACCCAAGAAGCACAAAGAAGCAGCTTCAAAAAGCAGAAAAACACAGTACTGCAGGGATGCGGGGATGCAGGGGTCAAAATAGGAGTATCTCTGCGGTGATTTGAAAGAAAATGGCCCTCAGAGGGAGTGGCACCATTAGGAGGTGTGGCTTTGTTAAATTAGGTGTGGCCTTGTTGGAGGAAATACGTCATTGTGGAGGTGGGCTTTGAGGTCTCCTCTGCTCAAGCTACATTCAGTGTGATATACCGTTCACTTCCTGTTCCCTGAGGATCAAGGTGTAGAACTCCCAGCTACCTCTCCAGCACCACGTCTGCCTGCATGCCTCCATGTCCCGCCATGATGATAATGCACTGAACCTCTGAAATTGTAAGCCAGCCTCAATTAAACGTTTTCCTTTATAAGAATTGCCATGGTCTTGATGTCTAGAAACTCTAAGAAAAACTCGTTCCTGCAAAGATGGAGTTATCTCCCTGTCAGTCTAGGAACCCCCGAGACAGGGGCTACATGAGATCCACTGATCTTTTCTGGTTCATCTACCTGCTCTATGCTTTTAAGAAAGGAAGTACCAGGAGGTCTCAATGTACCATTTCAGCTCTGCCACTGATATGCCTCTTTATATGATTATAATATATATATATACATACATACATATATATATATATAAAATATATTATCTAAAGCAGCAATAAAGAACTTAAAATCTAGTCAGGAGACCTGGAGAAATGGCTCAATAATTAAGACCATTGGCTGCAAGCAGGGCGTTGGTGACGCACACCTTTAACCCCAGCACTTGGGAGGCAGAGGCAGGCGGATCTCTGTGAGTTCTACAGAGTGAGTTCCAGGACAGCCAGAGATACAAAGAGAAACCCTGTCTCCAAAAACAAACAACAAAGAACACTGGCTGCTTTTTCAGAGAACCCAGGTTCGACCCACATGGTGACTCATAACCATCTGTAACTCCAGTTCCAAAGGACCTGATGCCCTCTCAAGACTTCCACAGGCACCACATACATACACACAGGGAAAACACTCATACACATACAATAAAAATAAATAAGCCTTTAAAATTACATTCATTCAGAATGACTGAGCAACAAAACTGGAAAAGGTAAAATATACTAAAGTACCCAATAAAGGTGAAAACAATGAACCAGGAGGAATCTGAAAGTAGGGGAACCTCCACGTGTTCTGAAATACCCTAGGAGGATGTGAGGAACTTATCAAAAAAAAATCAGGAAAGAAACAAAAGCTGGGTGTGCAGAGCAAACCTCTGATCCTAGCACTCGGTAGGCACAGGACGGCAGATCTCTTTGAGTGTGAAGCCGGTCCGGGCTACAAAAGAGACCATGCCTCAAAAACCAAACAAATCAAAGGATGAGACACAGACAGAAAAGTGGGGCATGAGATCCAGACGACCTGAGGACCAAACAAGTTCTAAAAGATCACAGCACGCTATACAAGAACCTGGCCCCTCAAGCAAAGAAAGGAAAACTGAATATAAATGTTAACTGCTTACTACCACTGAGTCTGTTACTAAAACAAGAGCAGTTTCATCAGCTTCCTAGGAACTCGGGGAGTAAATGAGAAAATATTTATACAGCGTCTAGCACGGTACTCATAAACCAGGGGTGAGGAGGGGACTTGGGGTTGAGAGTGCATAGACCAGCTTAGATCCCAGAGCCCAAGTAAAAGCTGAGAGAAGAGGTGGACTCTGAGAAAACAGCAAGCTCAGAGCAAAGGCACGGCTGTGAGAGAGAGGCTTGAGCATCGGGCCTTCTCATCACGTCTACGAAAAGACACGCAACAGACTTGCTACCAGGTGGACGCTTCCTCAGAAATGCAATGACACCGTAAAGAACAACACTGAAAGCTTTCACTGAATACAAAATCTGAATTAATCCTCTAAATAAAAAAAATCTCATTTTTTAAAAGAAATTTGAATAGGCTGTTTTAAAAGGTTATTTTGTTCTGAAGAGAGAGGTGGTGATCTCTCAAGAATGTGATTTATAATACTGTTCAACAAACTTTCAGTATTTTAGCCAGACGTTGGTGGTGCACGCCTTTAATCCCAGCACTCAGGAGGCAGAGGCAGGCGGACCTCTGTGAGTTTAAAGCCAGTGTGGTCTACACAGCGAGTGCCAGGACAGGCTCAAAAGCAATACAGAGAAACCCTGTCTCGAAAAACAAAAACAAAACAAAACTTTCAGTATTTTGAAGGTATATGGATATGAACAAACTAGCATCCTGAATAACCAATGTTTGTTACCAAAGCAAACAAGGGAAAAAGAAACGTCTTTAATCATAACTGATCAATGGACTTTTATAAACCAGCATATAAAAAGCGTAATAACAGTGTTACACCTCATACCACACAGACCTTTCAAAACTCGCACATGCTGAGTTCTGGACAGGAACAAACACTTCCCACAGTTGCAAGCTGGGAAAGCTTTTTTTCACCCATCTGTACAAGACCTTCCAAAAGGATGGGGAGCGGGGTGCTCAGTTCAGGGTCTCACTGCTGAGCTTCCCTGTCCCACTGTGTGAGCATGGATGTTCTTCCCACGCACTGGACAAAAAAATTAACAGATCTGTTGGGGAAGTCTTATGTCAGTAAAGCACTGTTGGGCCAATAGGAATCTAGATAGGTGGGGCTAGGAGTCCAGGAGGACTCTGGGAAGGAGAAACACAGAGAGTCGAGATGTAATGCCATGGGGTAGGAAGCCCGGAAACTTCTCCGGTAAGAGAAATACTTAGATTAACAATTATGGGGTAATTACTTAAGTCAGAGCTAGCCAATAAGAAACAAGCAAGGCCAACAGCTTCATAATTAATATAGCCTCCTGTGTGTTTATTTGGGACTGATGCAGCTCTAGAACCAGGCTGGCGGGAAGGCTTCACTCAAGGAAAAAGCTTCTCTTTACACAGATCCCAACAGGCTGACTGTAGAGCAAAGGTGAAACCTAGACATTCAATTGGTTTGTGCAAACTGAGAGGCCTTAATTAACTCTCCTATGGTTTTCTACAGGGATAACTTCCCAACATTTCTTCACCTTGGAAAACAGTATTGTGTATGTTATGTGTGCACTTTTATGTGTGTGAACACGTGTTTGTGTATGCACCTTGGAAAACAGTATTGTGCATGCGTGCACTTGTATGTGTGTGAACACGTGTGTTTGTGTATGCACGAGAAGGGAGGCCAGAGGTCAGCATCAGTATCCTCCGGTGTCACTCTGTAGTACTGTACCTGTAGCACACAGACTCACATAGCCTGGCTGTCCACCCCACCCCCACCCAGTGCTGAGGTTAAAGGCATGTGCTTCCTCCTCCTCCGACTTTTACATGAGTGTGGAGGATCTGAATCCGGGTCCTCATGTGGTGCAACACTTTTTCAAGTAAGCCATCTCCTCAGCCCCAGAAGACAGTGTTTTTAACACACTAAAGTATGTTCTTCGCGTTACAATGAAAAATTATTTGATACATAAATATGCACTTTGAAGTCCAGTACTAGAATCTTTGAGAACCACTGGGCTAGCAGAGGTAGAGGGAAAATAGCTGAGTACACCGTCAGAGCCCGTAGTCTGAAGAACCTGGGAGACTACAGCAGGGGGTTTGCTTGAAGCCGTAAGCGCAGGGACAGCCTAGGAATCTTGGGTTAAGTCCCCGCTCCTTAATTAAGTAAATTATTAATTAAAACACACACAAAAAAAGACAGACGCCATTTTCCAGATTTCATTCCAGATTGAGAAGCACCTCAGCAGAGAGGAAAGGAAGCGTGTGAGTGCGGGGAGGGGGCTGAGGCGGCTGTGAGGAGCCCAAGAGAAGGTCAGACAGCACTGAAGGGCTTGGGAGAAAGTCGCGTCTTTACCTTCATCTTCCATATTTGGAAGCCAAAAGATAATATCTAAAACGGCAAAACACAAGAAAGAGCAACGTAAACATCACTTTGGCAAGACGGCTGCCCCGCCGCAGACAGTCCTGAGTCCAGTGTGCGGAGACCCAGGCGGCCCTGCTGCAGACAGCTAGTCCTGAGCCCAGTGTGTGGAGACCCAGACGGCCCTGCTGCAGACAGTCCTGAGTCCAGTGTGTGGAGACCCAGGCGGCCCTGCTGCAGACAGCTAGTCCTGAGTCCAGTGTGTGGAGACCCAGGCGGCCCTGCTGCAGACAGCTAGTCCTGAGCCCAGTGTGCGGAGACCCAGGCGGCCCTGCTGCAGACAGCTAGTCCTGAGTCCAGTGTGCGGAGACCCAGGCGGCCCTGCTGCAGACAGTCCTGAGTCCAGTGTGTGGAGACCCAGGCGGCCCTGCTGCAGACAGCTAGTCCTGAGTCCAGTGTGTGGAGACCCAGGCGGCCCTGCTGCAGACAGTCCTGAGCCCAGTGTGCGGAGACCCAGGCGGCCCTGCTGCAGACAGCTAGTCCTGAGTCCAGTGTGTGGAGACCCAGGCGGCCCTGCTGCAGACAGTCCTGAGCCCAGTGTGTGGAGACCCAGGCGGCCCTGCTGCAGACAGTCCTGAGCCCAGTGTGTGGAGACCCAGGCGGCCCTGCAGCAGACAGCTAGTCCTGAGCCCAGTGTGTGGAGACCCAGGCGGCCCTGCTGCAGACAGTCCTGAGTCCAGTGTGTGGAGACCCAGGCGGCCCTGCTGCAGACAGCTAGTCCTGAGCCCAGTGTGTGGAGACCCAGGCGGCCCTGCAGCAGACAGCTAGTCCTGAGCCCAGTGTGTGGAGACCCAGGCGGCCCTGCTGCAGACAGTCCTGAGTCCAGTGTGTGGAGACCCAGGCGGCCCTGCTGCAGACAGCTAGTCCTGAGCCCAGTGTGTGGAGACCCAGGCGGCCCTGCAGCAGACAGCTAGTCCTGAGCCCAGTGTGTGGAGACCCAGGCGGCCCTGCTGCAGACAGTCCTGAGTCCAGTGTGTGGAGACCCAGGCGGCCCTGCTGCAGACAGCTAGTCCTGAGTCCAGTGTGTGGAGACCCAGGCGGCCCTGCTGCAGACAGCTAGTCCTGAGTCCAGTGTGTGGAGACCCAGGTGGCCCTGGGTTCAGCTGGGCTCATGGATTGCTTTACCCAGCTCAGATCCCTTAAAACTTAGTACTGTGAGCCTCACCTCATTTTTATTTGATGAAAGCCTCACATATATTCATTTGCAAGAAAAATCTTCTCTGTAAAAAGCCCATTGTCAAGACAAAAATCAGCTCTGGGAAAGGAAGGGAGGTGATTAACACTCAGCAGGGGTGTACGGGCACCAGGGAGCATGGCAGGAGCCTTTACAGTGGTCTGAACAGAAACGGCCCCCCCAGCAGGCTCATGTGTGGCCTCTAGAGGGGGGCACTGTCAGGAAGTGTGGCTTTGTTGGAGAAGCCGGTCGCTGAGGAAGTGGACTTTGAGGTCTTAAACGCTCAAGCTACGCCTAGTACTCCTGCTGCCTGTGTATCAAGATGTAGAACTTTCAACTCCTCCTCCAGGACCATGTCTGCCTGCACACTGCCTTGCTTCCCATCACGACGACAACGGACTAAAGCCCTGAACTGCTAGTCAACCCCCGGGAAATGCCTCCCTGCACAATAATTGCTGTGGTCACTGCGAGTCTTCACTGCAACAGAAACCCTAAGACAGAGTCAGCCCTCTGATGTAACTGGGGCCCTATTCCCAGACGTCAGGGTCTATCTCTAAAGGTCCAGCTGAGGACATTCTGGTGACCCTGAGGGATGAGGACGCCCAGATCTAAGACAGCATCCACAGGCCTGCTCGTGTGCTGCAGGGTTCCATCCAGCATCTCTCAGGGGCTCTCACCCCGCCTGGCAAATAACCAGGGGAGTCGGCCTGCGGACCGCAGCTTCCGGGTAGCTCTCTAGTTTAAAGCCGCCAAAGCCTGCCTGCTTCACAGTGTTCAAGGCAGGGTAGCTGAAGAGACTGCTGTAAGAAAAGCTTCAGCTACAACTGATTTTTATTCCCAAGTTAAGTTCAACAGTAACTACGACGTCTTACCGAGAGGAATGTTTCAATGTTCTCATGGACGAAGGAGGCGATGTCTTGCCAGTCCAGAATGTCCCCCAGCCAGCTGTTCTGGCGACTCACATGCATCTTGTGCCCTTTGTGCCTTCCGGAATGTGTCACGTTCTAGGGAACAAAGCCAGTGACGTGTGAAATTTCCATCTTAAGGCATCCAAAAGATAAACGTCTCTTTTGTCTTAAACCTGCTTATATATACTTGAGGAAGTGCCTACCTATGAAAGTCCTCACAAATTTAAGATATCAAGTAAGGGTGCCGCCTAAAGACTGGGAGCCCAGCACCTCTGCATTCGTGCTCTAGGTACTGTGTCTAGCATGATACACGTGCTTCCTTCCTAGCTTTGAAACTGTGTGCACAGAACCCAGAGTTCACACAAGTCTTCATTTCCTTCGCGCCTCCGTCTCTTCCTGGCTTCCTACCTTAGCGTCTTTCTCCTTTCTCCATCGTCTAGAAGAGACTATTCCAAAGGACCAAACAAGTGTGTGGGGGGGGGGCTGTCAGATTTGTCCGTCTGTCTGAAAGAAATTTTCGCAGGCAAGAAACCCTGAATTTGGAAGGGACATGAATAAACAAGATGAGGCTAAGACTGAGGAGCACACTCTTAGTGTTCTGTGTGCCTTCCATTTTCCCGCCTCTGAGTGCCTCAGTCTGCTACTCAGCAGGGAAGAGAGCATGTCACCTCCCCTGTACAGACAGATCTGTGCGCAATCCAACAACAAGGGCTCAAACAGGGTGGGGACAAGAAAAGCTACAAGCTGAGAAGCTCCAGAGCAGACACGGGAAACCAGTGGGACCTTCCTAACTGCTCAGTTCCTCAGACAGAACCCAAAGAGGAAATGCTCCGTGTCACACACCGCAATAGCTTTAACCCTCAAATCCTCACCACCAAAGGCAGTATTATTCCCTCAGCTCACCTCAGGCCACACACGGCGAAACACGCCACTAAATGAGAAACTGCAACTCGGCTACCCTCTTCTTGCGCCCTCTATGTTTACCCGGGGAGAAACAGCAGCTCTGGCCCACTATTCACAGAACAGGGCCCTCGACAGCCTGCCAGACCTGGCACACACAGAACGGGCACAGCAGAACCCACTGCTTCCCACACCATCGTCTGCGCTCGGTGGCAGCTGTACCTGTTCCACCACAACCTAAAGCAAGAGTTCGTCAGTATACACAGCACCCGAAGCTGACTGGAAACAAAAGCCTCTACACTTAAGGTCCATTTCTGTCTCCTCAAAGAGAAAGGCTTTCAACGTCTGGAATTCTCCTGTCCCTAACAGTAGCCACCAGTCTCCTGAGCCGTGCTGCTGGTACAAAATGCACACCATAGAATTCTAATACTCAGTTGTTTTAGGCACATAAAACACCCGACGTTTTTATTAAGTATATATTGAAATGGCAGTGAGGACACTGAATTAAATGAAATATATTATTAAAGTTGATTTCATCTATTTGTAATCACTTAATATTCTTGCCTGTATTTAGTCAATGCAGCTACTAGGGAGATTAGAGTCACATATGTGGCTTGCAGAAGAAGCTCGGGGTGTAGCTCAGGGGCAAGTCTTGTGCTTACTAACACACCATATACACCATAAACACATGAGCAGACAGGGCTTGCATTACATCTGCACTGTACCAAGCTACCAGAGGAAGAAACGCTATGATATGAGCCAAAGATGGAACACTGATACCCCAGGGAGACTAGCAGGGTAAGCCACCAACGGAAGCTGACGAAGGTTTAAGTTCTTGCTGCTGGGCAGTTAAAGTAAATGAAAGTCCAAAGCTAATAAAATCCTATATTCAATTAGTCTATGAAACGAAACAGTGTTACCAGTTACTCTGGAAGCTCATAGCTGAAAGAACTTACCTTAACAAACCAAGAGTGATACAGTGTTACCAGTTACTCTGGAAGCTCGCAGCTTAAAGAACTTACTTAACAAACCAAGAGTGATACAGTGTTACCAGTTATTCTAGACACTCCCAGCTAAAAGAACTCACCTTTACAAACCAAGAGTGATACAGTGTTACCAGTTACTGGGGAAGCTCGCAGCTTAAAGAACTCACCTTTACAAACCAAGAGTGATACAGTCTGTCCCACAGCTCTAGGACTTGCTTCTCAATCACAGCTGTGTTGTTCACCTTATCCCCTAGAATTTTGTGAAGCTAGGGAAAAAAATACATACAATCTGATATTTTAAGTAACAATTCAATATGATTAATGCACGCTGAGTCTTTAATTGTCCCAAATCAAATTAAAACAGTCAACTATTTAAAAATCTCTAGTCATATTATGTCATTTTCTTAAAAGAAGCTTCCATGCTTCAGCAGAATCTCCACCTTCTTTGTCACCTCCACTTGTCTTCTTAGAGAGTAAAAAGTGAAAACACACTTGCTGGCCTAATTGATCTCACCCACCCAGAGGAAAACCTTTTTCCCTGTGAGCCTAGAGCCCATCTATTATGTTTAGGTGTTGCATTACTCCTCTATTATTAAGGGCTACCATAGGACTCTTAAGTAAAACTTAGAGCACAAACACTTCCAAGTCTGCTGAGACGGGCCAGGGCTGGCAGGACAGGCTTCAGGAACCTGACACAGGGCAGTACAGATTACACTGCCGTCATATCTCATCCTATTTCCTTATTAAAGCCATTTTTAAAGATCTGAAGGAACAGATCAGTGGGAGATCACTCGTCTCGTATGTACAGAACACTTGGCTCAATCCTTAGCACAGGCAAAAAAAAAATCTTTTAATATGTCTTGTTTCTGTGTATGTGTGCATGTGGGGAGGCCCAAGGACACACGTGCATGAGAGTCTGGAAACCAGAGGTGAACACGGTATCCCTGCAGTCACTCTTACTTCATTCTTTCAGAGTTTCACTAACCCTGGAGCTCACCTGACTAAACCAGACGCGCTTGTCAGGAAGGCCCAGAGATCCTCCTGCCTCCAGCCAGCACTGAGATTACAAGAGCTCACTGACACTGGCTCTTTGTTTTGTTCTGGTTTTCTGGACACAAGGTCTCCCTTATTTGTACTCTAGGCTGGCCTCCAACTGAGAGAGCCACCTGCTGCATCCAGAAACCAGATTAAAGGTGTGGATCGGGTGCTATTTACATGGGTGCTAGGGACCAAACTCAGGTCCTTAGGTATGGCAAATGCTTTACAAACCAAACCATACTCCCTGCCCCAAAAAACAATTTTAAAGGACAAGCATTAGTTTGTGGTTCTATTTTATTAAATTAATGTCATTTTCCCCATTTTTTTGGCAACTTCCTCTCCAGAGGAAGTTACAGAGACGGAATTTCAAATCTGTATGTTTTTTTCAATCATAAGCATTTCGTCTTTAGTGTCTGTAACCTTCTTAAATTCAATGGTTCTTGGGGGGTTGGGGGGAGGTCATGGGAGGAGGGGAGGGAAATGGAGAGGGACCTGGAACTGACTTGTGAAGCAACCTTGTTTCTAATTTAAATTTAAAAATAAATAATAAAAAAGAAAAGAAACAAATTCAATGGTTCTTACTCATTTATTAAATCCACTGCTGCTTAGTCAGGACTCACAGTTGGACACACAAACAGTCCCAGTTTTTAAGGGAGTCCACGTCTCCACACATAGCTCATTCTTCACATCGCCAGTCTCGCAAAGTAAATGAGCGGGAGCCAAGGAAAACAATGGTGCTGGCTATACACTGTCCAACAACTTTCTAAGGGGTTGTATAAGTTGATACTTTTAAGCACTGTATGTAAACCAATTTCCCCAAGGCCTTAGGAATTAACTGAAAACCTTCAAGATAATTTAGCAGGCATTAAATGAGAACCAGCTGTCTATTCTCCTTTCCTTCGGTGGCTTCTCCAGACTGGCTTATAATAGCACCTAGGCACTTCTTTGTCCCCTAACGCTAGCCTTGTGAAACCTGATCCAGTCACCGCTCAGATCTGGTACAAATATCTAACTTTTTATTGAAATGATTTACTCATAAACCAGACACAAATTATTCATATTAAATATAAAAGCCACTTATCTCTGAAAAGCATTTCACAATTTTAAATGGCTTCACCTACATTATGTGATTTCTGCAACCACCCAAGAGAAAAAGGAAAATGGCTTTGTAGGTCTTGGGATACAGCTCGATGACAGAGTGCATTCATAATGGCCTATGCGCAGACCAGAAACTCAAGAGAATGGTTCTTCTGTCCGTCTAGGAAGTTTTAGGAAGTGTCTATGAACACTCAAGGTCACAGCTAGGTGTGCAGAGCCAGTACTAAAATTGCCTAATAGAGGGCATGAAGATGTATCCCAGCAAGCCCAGCCTCAGGGAGGCTGAGGCAGGAGGATTGCAAGTTCCAGGCCACACATACAAGACTGTCTCACAAAATGAAGTTCTCTAGCGTTCCTCCAAGTGCAGCCTCTGTGACCAATACACAAAGAACACCTCACAGCAGGTGCTGAGCACAAACACGCATGCTCCCTTTAGTGACTTCTTCCTCTCAGGACATGACTGTCTGACACTCCACAGGCCTCCTCCTATCAATTTTCCATGTCAGCTTCCGAGATTCCCCTAACCGGGCCTGAAGCACTTAGTCAGCCTCTGGTGAAGCACTTAGTCAGCCTCTGGGAGACAACGTCCACGGTGTGGCCGTCAACGCAATGAAGCACTAACCTTATGCTGCCATCTTGCCTGCAACTCTGACGCCCAGGAGAAAAAAAATGGCAATATTGTATAATAACATGCTGTAAAACCCTCTAGAAACCCACAGTCCTGTCAGCCCAGCAGAACATCCACCAGAGACTCAGAACACCGTCCTCCTGTGTTACCATATACTCTGCGAGACACAAGAAGACTTAAGCGCTGATATGAGGACACTCACTGAAGCCCGAGTATCCTTCAGAGCCCTCTCTGGCTCACTGTGTCACTTTCTGTTACAGCCGCCTTGTCTTCCCACAGGCCCTCCTCACCCTTCAACCACCTGAACTCCCTCCCGCTCGCTCAAGAGCCCGCGAATGGACTCTGCCTGCAGCGGACCTGTCTTTCCCCAGACCTTCACCAGCTGCTTTCTCATTAGGGTCTTGGTAGGAAGGCAGCTGCCTCAGGGAACTCTCTGGACATTTAACTAAAGCATCACCCTGAATCACTCTTTACCACACATTCTTATGAGTACTTTAAAAAAAAAACTCTTTTGTTCTCTTTTGTTTCTCTGTGTAGCCATGGCTGTCCTGGAACTCGCTCTGTAGACCAGGCTGGCCTGGAACTCAGAGATCTGCCTGCCTCTGCTGGGACTGAAGGTGTGTACCACCATGAGCAGCTCAGTACCTAACATTTCTATGTGTTTAAATGCTTAACGCTCATCTCCTCTCATCAGTGTTAGACTCTAGGAGGCTGTTGACGCGGGTTCTCTGCTCTCCACTGGCCTGAACTGTAGACAGACCGGCACTTTCTTCACTTAGGGTCAAGGCAGAGGGACAGAGGAAACAGCACTGTCCGGGTGCACACCAAACAGGAAGGAGAGCTCAAGCAAGGGTGACGATGGCAGCCAGCAGAAAGGCTTGCGCAGAACACAGACTAGATGTAGGAGCACAGGAGACAAGCCTGACAAAGCGGGCAGGGGAACCTGGAACCTTCAGAGCCGCCTCTGCTTTTACCTAAAGTAAAAACTAAACCTTCTCTCTTTCTGGGCATGGCAGTTTCCCTAGCTTCACTCCCTTCTAGACTTTGCCTCTTGTAATCCACTTCTTAGATTCTGAGCTACTTAAGATTTAAGGCTCATTAAAGTGACACCTGTGGTTTCAATGGCTTTTATAACAACCGCATAAAGCATCACTCGCACGTTACAATTCACCCATTTTAGTAGACAAGTCAATGGGTTATGTATATTTATAGTTACTTAGCCATTACAATTAATTTTCATCACCCATTAGTAATCACTCCCATTTCTCCTCAGATTCCCATGTTTCTAGAACCCACTACTCTCTTTTCTGTTTACAGATTTGTCATGTTAATGGAATCATCTGCATGTATTTATGGCTGATCCTCTGTTTATTAGTATTACTATTGTGTATGTTGAGAGGGTACCGTACACACATGAGGACATCAGAGGACAACTTGTGGAGGTGGTATTCTTCTCCCACCAAGTGGGTTCAGGGACTCAAACTCTGGTCATCAGGTTTGCACAGCTCACCAGCCAGTAACTGGTATTCTTTATCAGCAGTATATGTTCAGTGTTAATGCATGCTGTAACATTCATCAGTATTTCATTTCTTCATTAAATTTACCATCTTAAAGGCAAGGACCAAAACTCAAAAGCTGCCCTAACACCCCCCCCTCTCTCCCTCTCTCTCTCTCACACACACACACACACACACACCCTTATACAAGCATGTACAGATAGTCATACAATCACATACACTCACACATACATGGAATACATTTGTTATATTAGGTTGATCTATCTACCAGTTGCTAGACATCTTCCAGAACTGGAGTTACAGAAGGCTGTAAGCCAGCCAACGGGTGCTGGGAGGCCAACCCAGGTCCTCTGTGTGAGCAGCAAGTGCTCAAGCCATCACTGCAACACTCTGCTTTTGAGTGTTAAACAAGGAATGAATTGCTCATGCAATTTGGGGGACACAAATTTCAGTGCCCTCAATCTTGTCAATCCTTTATGTTCCTAACTACTTTGGCATACTAAGACTGAAAATTAATTTTATTATCTGGGCAATACTGGGAGAGGGGTGTACTGCAAATCCACACTGAGGACGCTAGCTAGTCCTTAAGTCCAACAACTGCGTCCTTTCCCCTGCCACTCTTCCCCTTCACAAGACTTCAGTCAAGTTCATCTCAAGCACAGGCACCCTCACACCTCTATTATCTTCACTCCACAAGTAACTTTCTTAAACACACTCTTCCTTGACCTGCCAGTCCTCTGGGTTTATCTCAAGTACCACCTGAAAGCACTTACTCTAGTTCCGGCCAGACACACACAGACAGAAAGAAACAGGGATTTAGAGTCAGTCCTGGTGTGGCGCAAACACATCACACGGCCATCGGTTCTGCTGAGCCTGCCCAGCCTGTTCTCTCTCTCATCTGGAAGGCACGTAAACTAGTTCAGAGTACTACAGGAAGCTTACAATGTTAAATGAAACTGGAAACTGCCAAACACAGGGAGCAACAGATACAGGGTTCAACATGTTTGCATGAATTCTTTTTCCTCTACAAGGTCTTACGTGACCACTCAAGTTCTGTGATCATCTGACCCTGCAGCACAGATAGACCAGATCTATCCTGAAAGAAAGCAAACAGTCAACTTCTCAAGACTGCTGAGGCCACGAGCACTGTTCAGTGCGGCACCCCGAGAGTTTGAGTCCACTTTAAGGTACCTGTCTACCTGCAGATGTAAATGCGTTTCATAAATGGAAACTGCTCCAAGCAGAATCTTGCACATCCTCTAGCAAAGGAAGAAGTTGCTCCAGTAAGAATCCTGCACGGAGCCGGGCGTTGGTGGCGCATGCCTTTAATCCCAGCACTTGGGAGGCAGAGGCAGGCGGATCTCTTGTGAGTTCGAGGCCAGCCTGGTCTACAAGAGCAAGTTCCAGGACAGCCTCCAAAGCCACAGAGAAACCCTGTCTCGAAAAAACCAAAAAAAAAAAAAAAAAAAAAAAAAAGAATCCTGCATGGAGAAAGGCACGAGAAAGAGTCACCCCTTACCTTGTGAGTTATCCATTCCCGTCCATACTGATAGACATTGTTAGCCGCAGAATTAAGGGCTCTTTGGACCACCTGAGCCTCAGGAAGCCAACTGATGGATAGAAAAGACAGAGAAAATGGAAAAAGTCCATTCTCAGTATATTCTTCTAACAATGCTCTGAACTAAAGCTACCAATAACAAATCACTAATCAATCATTAACACAGAGAACACCTAACGCCCAGGCCTGAGGATCCTGATCCTGACTCTCAGGATTTCCCTTCCATCTCTCCATAGGATCCAGACCTATCTTCCTACTATCGTGCCCCCCCGCCTCCTTTTCATTCTGTTCTGCCTGGTTTCTACACCTACACATGTGGTAGTGAGCTGCTGTGGTGTTTGAAAGAAAATGCCAACAAACAGAGTGGCAATATTAGGAGGTGGGGCCTTGTTGGAGGAAGTATGTCACTGCGGGGGCTGGCTTTGAGGTCTCTTTTGCTCAAGCTTCCCTCATTGTGACAGTCAGTTGACTTCCTGTTGCCTAAAAAAAATGATGTAGGACTCTCAGCTCCAGCACCATGTCTGCCTACATGGTGCCATGCTACCTGTCATGACAATAATATACTGAACCTCTGAAACTTGTAAGCAACCACCCCAATTAACTGTTTTCTTTATAAGAGTTGCTGTGGTCATGGTATCTCTTCACAGCAATAAAAAACCCTAACTAAGAGAGAAGTTGGTACTAGGAACTGGGGTATTGCTGTGATAGGTCTGCTCATGGGTTTGTTTGGAGGAATTTGGACTTTGGTACTTAGGGTTATGAGAGCAGTGGAAGGCTTTAGGCACTGCTTAATGGGCCATACGAGCAGGAGCATGGAAGACAGAGGTGCTGAGAGTTATTTCAACTGTCAGGGGCTCACTCAAGATGTTTCAGAGAAAAAGAATTTTAAGTATGCTGCCTAGAGATCATCCTTGTGATACTTTGGTAAAGAAAATGGCTGCCTTCTGCCCTTGTCCAAAGAGTCTGCCCGAGGCTAAAGTGAATTCTAGATTAATTTCCTTGGCAGAAGAAATCTCAAACAGCTTAGTAAAGATTCCGTCCCATGGGTATTAGTGGCAACTCTAATGAAGATTTATAATGAAAGGGGCAAGTCAAGCAGGGTAAATTACAAAATGAAAGTCTTAAGGAAGGAAACAAAGAGATAGAGAGAGAGAGTACCAGAAAGTGGAACAGAACCAAACCCTGTGTACAAAGAGATATGCAGACTAAGAAATGGAATAAAAAGGAGGGGTGGCCACAGGGTAAGATCCCACCCATGGTTACCAACTTGTAAAAAGGAAGTAAGGGGGAGTTTAGAGCCAGGTATGGTGTTACACACCTTTGATCCCGTCCCTGGGAAGGCAGGGGCTGATGGGTCCCTGAGTTCGAGGCCAGCCTGGTCTGCAGAGTGAGTTCAAGGACAGCAAAGGTCAGACAGGGAAGGAAAACAGAAGGCTGGTGAGGCTGTGACTCAACGGGGGGGGGTGATTGTTCCAGACCCAGTAAGCGGAACTTGGCAGCTTCAGCAACGTGGTTCTGGATTCGGAGCGAGGACAGTGGAAAGCAGTAAGGGGCTAAGGCTAGGCATGTGTCAGGAGTGTCCCTGAAGGGAGGCCTGGTAGAGAAGCCATTAAATGTGAAGCTGAAGTCCAGACTGCCTCAGAGAACCCAGGATGACGCGAGAGCCAGGGGACGCTGCCCAGGAGAGCTGCTAACCGTGAGTGGAGCCAGCCCAAGAGACGCAAGTATGCTGCGGTCAACAGAGCTGAACAGTTAGAAACCTGAAGATCACTTTGACATCACGCAAGGAGTTGCAGCGTTTGGAGTCTGCCCGGTTGGTTTTCGGTCTTGCTTTTGTACAGTATTTCCTTGCTGTGCTCCCTTTTCCTATGTTTTGGAACTGCAATGTGTATCCTGTGCCATTATATGTTGGAAATATGTAATCTGCTTTTTGATTTTGATTTTTAGAAGCAGTTAAGAGATTATCACGTGTCTCAGAAGAGACTTAGGGCTTTGAAACAAGTTTGAAACTGTTAACAAATTATGGGGACTTTTGAAGCTGGACTGAATGCATTTTGTAAGTATTTATTTATTTATTTATTTATTATGCAGTGTTCTGCCTGCATGTGATTGGGCCCCACAAGAGGGCAGCAGATCTCATTACAGATTGTTGTGAGCCACCTGTAGCTGCTGGGAATTGAACTCAGGACCTCTGGGAGAGCAGACAGTACTCTTAGCCTCTGACCCATCTCTCCAGCCCCCTGAATGCATTTTGGTTTTTTTGCAATGATATGGCCAAAAGCCTTTAGGGGCCAGGGAATAGAATGTGGTGATTTGGGGAAAAAAAATGGCCCCCAAAGGGAATGGCACTATTAGGAGGCGTGGCCTTGTTGGAGGAAGTGTGTCACTATGAGGGCAGGCTTCGGGGTCTCTTTTGCTCAAGCTACTCTCAGTGTGACAGTCAGTTGACTTCCTGCTGCCTGCGATGCGGCTATCTCAACTCCAGCGCTATGCCGCCATGCTCCCCGTCATGATGATGACGGACTGAACCTCTGAGACTACAAGAAGGCGAAGGCACCCCAAAGAAATGTTTCCCTTTATACGAGTTTCCGAGGTCCTGGCGTCTCTCCACAGCAATAGAAACCCTGACTAAGACACCTGCCTAGTCAGCCCAGAGGACACGTTCTGAAGCACAGAGATATTCCAGCATCTGACAAGATTCAGAACATGCCGAGTGTTGGTGGCACATGCCTTTAATCCCAGCACTCGGGAGGCAGAGGCAGGCTAAGGGAGTGCAGAACCGAGGAAGAACCCGGGATTAAGAGGGCGGACAAGTTCGTCTTACACCCGCTGATCGTTTGACACAGAGTCTCCTCACAAAGCTTCAGCCTCGCTGAGAACTGCAGTCTTAGGCGTCACTTCTTTTACAGTAAAAACCTCCCCAGGCCCTCACAGCTAAGTAGGCTGCACAATACACCTTAATCAAGAAGCCTTTTCATATACGCACTGCCTTCCAAAAGTATTTCCATATAATATATAAAACACTTTCAGAAGCATGTTGTATATTCCGCAGACTGCCCATCCGTGTTATATGCCAGATACTGACATTCGTAAATTTAATAGTTCGGGCTTCAATTATCCATGATTCACACTGAAAGGCCCAAGCAATAATACCTATGAGTTTATTTTCCTGAGGCTCAAATATGATGCGTCCTACCAAGCCGGCACATGGAAAAGGGTCAGCACACTATTACAGTCTACAGCCTCAATTTCAATTCTCTGTTTTTTTTTAATATATATTTATTAGAAGAGAGCACCAGATCTCACTACAGATAGTTGTGAGCCACCATGTGGGTGCTGGGAATTGAACCCAGGTCCTCTGGAAGAGCACTCAGTGCTCTTAACCTCTAAGTCATCTCTCCAGCCCCTAAAGCCTCAATTCTTAGCAGCTTCGTGGATGTGTATGTAAGGTGATCATACCAAAAAGATGATTGCTGTCATTAGCCACAAATGCCAAGATGTCTAGAAAAAATGTTCTTTCATAAGAAGAATAAAAATAACAGGAAATGTCAATAAATTAGAAGGGAAAGCCAGGCATGAGGAAATGTACCTGCAATCTCATTATTTGGGAGTCTGAGGCAAGAGTATCTCGAGTGTTAGGTCAGTCCGATCCTCAGAGTAATATCAGAAGCTGTCCCTAATCTTTTTTTCTTTTTTTTCTTTTTTTTTTGGTTTTTACGAGACAGGGTTTCTCTGTATTGTTTTCGAGGCTGTCGGTCTAGCCCAGCCTCGAACTCACAGAGATCCGCCTGCCTCTGCCTCCTGAGTGCTGGGATTAAAGGCGTGCGCCACCACCGCCCGGTGCTGTCCCTAATCTTAAGCTCCTACTCCCTACATTATTCCTTTATCAAAGCTTTGGCAAACCGTTTCTCTTCTCTTCCAATGCAGCTACATCAATGAACACTGTTCCATGCACAAGGATAATGAAACTTGGTCACCCAAGTGTATCTTTTTTCCAAACAGTATTCTTACTTTGCCCACTCTGGGTGATTTGCTACCGTTTCATTAATCAGATTACTTGTGACTTCAATCATGTGTACACTTTCTTGATGTACCTGTAATATGGGTAAAAAGAGAAAAAAAATCAGTAAGTAATAAACCTAATTAAAAATGTCTTTTTCTACTCTTCTAAGATCAAGTAATTATATATCGTGGTTTTTATTAACTTAGAGGTGGGCACTTACAAGCTGTTATATATAATGTCCTATGACTGAAACTGAAAGAAATACATATATACTTCCCATGCCTTCAAGAAGCTCAACAATCTGCCTTTAAAAAAAAATCCAAATACTTAACCCATAGACATAAACATCTAGTTCACGCATATATACCTATGGACAGATTATGTGCGTGCTTATGCATCTTCATACGCAATACCAAAGCTGCGCTAATACAGCAGCCATGCAGGGTGAGATACACAGACAGACAAATCTCTGGTATGGCTTTTTGTGGTTCTACAAGCAGAAAAGCCACCAAGAACTGACACTGAATTTGCCTTGCTGTGGTGGTCTGAGTAAGAATGGGCCCATAGGCTCACACGTTTAAGTGCTTGGTCATCAGGGAGTGGCACTGCTTGGGAAGGATTAAAAAGAGGTGTGGCCTTGTTAAAGGAAGTGTATCACTGGGGGGCGGGCTTTGGGGTTTCAAAGATCCACAGCAGACTTAGGTTGTCTTCCTGCTACCTGTGGATCAGGATGTAAACTCTCAGCTACGGCTCCAGCACCACGTCTGCCTGCAGGCTACCATAACGACAATGGACTACGCCTCTGAAACTGTAATCAAGCCCCCAATTAAATGCTTTCCTTTGTAAGAGTTGCCTTGGTCATGCTGTATCTTCACAACGACTGAACAACTCCTTCAGAAGAAGACGCAGTTCCGCTGCAGAACAATTCAAAGTCAACATGACTCTAGGGATTACCTAGCTGCTCATTCTCCAAAGGCTTTAAGTGGCATTGATAAGAACTTGATACTGTTCTCTGTGGACAGGAAATTACAAGACACCTTCAGTCTACAGTTGTCCATGTGATATATTGGCAAAGTCAAAACCAGAGGGATTTTCTGACAAACTAGATGAGTACTCAAAACATAAGGTATACTCAAGACTGACCCTGAAGGCCTTCCTTGAGCTGAAAGAACTGGAGTTGACACTTACTAGAACAGAAAGGCTATGAGAAGAACGGTTTCTGATGTGGCATTTGAGGCACCTACTAGACACTCAAGTGGAGACTCTTGGTAATCCATAAAAACAATTCCTTTATTAAAGGAAAATAAGCCAGATACCTCAAAAGTTCAGTCCACTTAAATAGCAGATGAGAAAGAAATGGTTCGGTACCCGTGAATGAAGCTGAGGGAAGCAAAAACTCCCTGCAGCCCAGAATAAAGAACTTGACAGATGGGCACATCCGAGACGGGGAGACCCCACGCAGAGAGAGAAGAACAAAGGGGCAGAGAAGTGAGTCAGCCAACAGACAGGACTCTCTCTCTGAAAAGTACCGGAGGACTGCATGACAGCAACCCAGGCAAAATGGGACAAAGACACAGAACGGGCTCAGGTCTACGCAGTGTACATGAAGTGACGACATGTGACCGCTCCTAAAGAGCGGACAGGGACAGCACAGAAGAGATGGAAATGCTAACAGAGTGGGTCGTCAGGGGCGAAAGCAAAAGCAATCAGAACACAGTGGATCTGACTGAGGACTACAGCTCCCGAGTAGACAGCCCGCGGTAAGCGCAAGGCAGCACTTCAGCAGCCTGATGCCACTGGGTCGCCCACTGGTGACAGTCACTAAGAGTCCCTGCAGGACTGTGAGACACCCGCGGCCTCGGGTCTGCGTCACAATCTTGTGAAAACAGAGCACCGAAATCTGGAAGTGGAATCACGCGTAGATTCCGGACAGACAGAGGTCGAACGCACTTGAAAGAGGGTTGAAAAACGACCCCTCTGCAAAGCACGCCTCCCGGGAAGATAAAACGCTGCTGTGCTTTGGGAAATCCCTTTCTCTATAAGACGGAAACAGGAAACGAAACTTACACTGGAGGAACCCGAAAGGCAAAGACACAGAGCCCCTCTGTTGAGTTGCCATGTGTGGCTAGTAAGACCTCTCCCCCACCCCATGAAGGAAGCTGAGTGGTCACAGACTTCTGGGGGGTCTCCTGTGGGTCTGTCTTAAGGACAATGGTGGCCATGCCACCGAAGAGGACAGCATTATCAAAACAGACACCAAAAGGACAGGCGCCAAGGACAAGAACAGGCGTGCGGAACCGCACCAGACACAAGCACCCCACAGGACGGAAGGGCAGGGGCAGGAGGGAGGGAAGCAGGCAGGCACACCACCCGCTCCCTCGCTCACGGAGACTCAACTTGCAGAGACTCAAGACTGAGGCAGGAGTTGGGCCTGCCCCTGCTGTGCCAGGAGAGAGCACCAAGACCAGACCCCCAGGAGATAAGGAAGGAGGGGACACTGTACTAACTGTATTACAGTCATGAGACTAGTTCAGAAGCCTCTTAGGTTTAAGGCAGACAGCCTAGGGGTGGGAGGGTTATTTTCAGGATTCTTTTTTTTTTTTAAACGGCATTTTTTTTCTTGGAAACTTGGTGACAAAATAAAGTGTGTGCAAAAGAGATGTAAAAAGAAGCATGCTAGGCAGACTCATAGCAAAATTATCAATGTACAAAACGGAAATGCTTTAGTGGGTAGAGGTACTTGTGATAAGCCAAATAACACTTTCCAGTTGCTTCTGCTGCATGCAGTCCTAACAACAAGGCCTCTGCTGTAACAAGATAACCGGTTGCTGTACTTTACCTTGGCAGTCAGGAGAAGGGCTAAAAGAAGGGTTCCTATTACTAGCAAGAATATGATGAAGATGCTAATAATTTTATCTAACATCTTCTCCAGCCAGATGATCATCTGCATGGAAATGGAAAAAAAATAGGATTACTCATCTCCAAAGTATTACTTAATAAACACGTGTACGTATTCAAATATCACAAATACAGGATATTCAGCATTGCAAAGCAAACTACAGCACACTGGTTAAAGCGGTAAGAGCTATAAGCAGGGTAACTTCAGAAAATTAACTAACAACGCTCGCTGCTGCTGCGATGTGGAGAGTTCATTACTGTCATGGCTGTGAGAAGGCAGCCAGCCAGAACACCGCCCAGGTGCACCCCGAGCTCTTACTGCGCTACCCCTACACTTCGGTCTCTAATTCCAAGACCTGTAACTACGTTCTAAACTCGACGATGACAGCCCATCAGTTGACCTTAGGTCTCATGAAGCTCTATTTTCACTTAGCCAGCACAGACAGACGGCTTCAGAGAATGTGTGTGCCCTTGTAACGGTCGTCTCCTAAACTACACAAGAAACAGGAGCAAAGTCAGCAATAAATTCCAAATGCATTTTACGTTCACCACAGCAGGATGATAACGACGGTAACCGGTGATGCACGCATGTAAAGGCAATAGCGGGTTCAAGAGTAACGGCTCCCGGGTACCAGGTTTGGGGAGGTGGATGCAGTTCTAATGGGGTGGACAGTAGATAACCGTTTTTTGTTTTGTTTTTTTTAAAACGAATGTGTCACAAATGCTTTTAAATTAACGTAAGTTAAGTGCATGCGTTTATTCAGTGGGGGGTGGGGTGCACACAGGTGTCCGGGCACGAGTCTGGAGATGAGCGGACAATCTGCCTGAGCAGGTTCTCTCCTCCCGTCACGTGGCTTTCACAGACTGAAGTCCCTTTACCCACTGCACCAAACTGACAACCCCGGGACTTTCTGACTTTAGGTATTTCACAATAAAATGATTTTAAAGGTCTGCTATTCCACTAGAAGTTTCTAGTCTATTGAAAACGTAAGCTTTACAGCTTGATTCTAACTCAGTGAAGTACATGCATCCTCAACATAGCAGCTGTTTTTAACCAGTAATTAAAATTATGCTCTCCTTAAAATGGTATTTGATATTCCGTCTCTGCTAGAACTTCTCTCACCTTTTACGACCCCAATAATCCTACATCTTAAGCCCTTTTTGCTTTCAGGACTGCAACAAAGATAGACCTCCACACTTCCTGCCATGCAAAGCCACCATTTAAAATTCAAATCAGACTTAATTAGATCAGCACTGCTAATGTGCCATACTGCACCCTTCAACCCAAGCATGAGCTGTAACACCGCTAAGTTTTCCTAATTTAAATTGAAATTATGCTCTCTACACAGTGAGTTAAGATACCGAAAAGCAACATTTTCCTTTTTAAAAAAACACCTCAAGTTTTACAAGTTTATTTTCTTCAAAAGTTGAACTCTTCATACATCTTCCACGAAGGACGCTGCCCTTCAATGTGTGCCAAAGTGAACTCAGACACAAAACGTTAATAATCTCTAATGTTGACACTCAGAGTTTCAAACAGGAGAGTTAAGCTTCAATGCATGCCGAAGCATCAGAGACAATGCAGAAGTTAAATAAAAAAGGGAAGGACAGGTTTCTAAGGTATGGAAGGTCAGGTGTCTTACTCTGAGGTAAGTTCTAAATCAATGAACCGAGAAGTTTTTGCCATCAGGAAGCAGCTGGGCTCTAGACCTCCTGAGGTTGCCCCACAAGGAAAGGGCTGCCTTGTTCCTCTTTCTACAGTTCCAAAACCCAGGAAACCAGGAGTACAGCTTGTATAACAAACACAAAGTAATTCAGAGTTACAGCCAGATTTGTTTCCAGGGATAACAGTTTCTGAAGGTAATGTAGGAAGAAGCATCCTTAAAAGCCTACTTCTAAATGAAAACAATCTACTGGGAAAGCATGGAGCCCTAACTTCCTATCAGGTGTCATTAACATACAAACCACGGGACTCCAGAAATATGCCCACCAGAATTATAAAATCAGACTTTATGGTTTTAAGATAGAGTAGAATCTTCCCAACTCCAGTTCTGTCAGCGATTAAGTACAAAGTACTTGCTAAAGACTTGGGAGACTCTTGTTCTCTCCAGCCTCCATACTAAAGGGTGCTCTGAAGAGGACCCTGCCCAGTTCCCAGCACCCCCATGGCAGCTCAACTGTCTTTGACTCCAGTGTCAGTGGATCTGATGCTCTCTTCTGATTTCTGGGGGCACCAGCCAGACATGTACACAGTGCACATATAGACATATAAACAGACAGACATATAGACAGATGGACGGACGGACGGACATAATACAGGTAAAACACCCACACACTTTTCAAACAAACATTCAGGACAGTGAACGTGGATAGAGGAAAAGATACAACTTGCTGAGAGCCTGAGTGAACAAAAGCAGAGAGAAACAGGGACAGAGGAAGCTGGGGTCTCTAAAGGAATGCCAGGCACCTTCTTTCCATGCTCACAATGAGCAAAGCCAACCCAACTGTCACCGTCACTGCTGGGCTGTGGAACACATGGGGTCTCTATGAATTGCTGCAGTCTTTCTAGGTGATGACCAATAATAACCTTTAAAGTTTTGTTTTTAAAAGAGGATCCGTTTCAAAATGGCATGCTAAATATTTCAAATATGAACAGGGAATGCATTTTTTAAAACTTAATTACACTAAGCCCTACTCTAAAACTTCTGAGACCACTGGCTTTGTTTATCAAGCTATTAAGAAAGTATCACAGCCAGGTGGTAGTGGCTCATGCTTTTAATCCCAGAACTTGGGAGGTGGAGGCAGGCGGATCTCTGTGAGTTCCAGGTCAGCTTAGTCAACTGAGAGAGGTTCTGGACAGCCAGAGCTACACAGAGAAACCCTGTCTCAAAAAACCAACAACAAGAAAGTACCATAAGCCTTGTGCATTTCTCTAGAGCAAAAATGTACCAACTGAATCACAAGAACACCCCAATGCTTTGTACACGCTACACAAAATGAATGACAGCAGTTACTTTCTCCCTTAGGAATCCTTTAAAACTAACTCTGCTTTTCAGCTATATGTTAGGCTCATAAATTGGGTTTCAAAACTCATTTAGTCCACTGAGTGTAGAACAAATTAAACTTAATGAATTTAATTCTTTTCTCTACCTTAATCATGAGGACAATTCATTTCAATACATACCAACTGGGGAAACATAAACAATCACTTTACTTTGATTAAAGTTAACAAAATGTGTGTTATACTCTCTCTTAAAATTCTCTCTATCTAGAATTCTAGATAAATACAGACAGACAGACAGATATTATATCTACCTCCTGACACTAAGTTCATAGGGAATGAGGGAGTTACTCTACCACATAAATGTAGGATGAAGTAGACAAAGTATTTTACACTGCTTACTTGCAATCCAGTTTAAGAACCTTGGGTGTTGTCAAGTCTTCCATATCTTCACTTCAATGGGATGGGGGAGCAAATTTTAATCCCCATATTTAAAAGTACAAAAATCTGGGCCTAGCAGTGTATGACAGCTTGCCATGCTCAAGGCCTGAATCTGACTCTCAGCACCACAAAATCAAATGCTGAATTAATTAGCAAATGTGAATAAATAAGTAAACACTGAAAATCAAAATGCGACTTTGATCTACTCCCACGTCTTTAAAGTTTGCTACATTGTTTTTACTGAACCTAAGTCTTGCTTGTGTTTAAACAGGACACACATGCATAATTGCCATCTTTTGCAAACCTGTCCTAGGGATTCGAAAGTCAGTCAAACACTGCTCTATCTTGAGTAAATGTCAGAGGCACAGTATTCCTCATATATGTAGGTAGACCTTAGAAATTTACATGAAATGTGTCTATCACAATGTCATACCAATCATGGAAAGCAGTTCCTACAGACAAACGTCAGGACTCATAAAACACAAAATTAGATGTCATAGGCCATGGATACAGGTCGCTTAAATAAAAATAAAAACAATTTTAAAAAGATAACCTGTCTCTGGGATATTAGAGTCGTAGTTAATTTCTGTCCCCTTGACTCAAGAGTCATCTGAGAAGGAACTTCAACTGAGAAAATGTCCCCACCAGACTGACCTGTGGTCAGGCCTATGGAGCATTCTCTTGATTGGCTACTGATGTGGGAGGGCCCCGCCCACTGTGAGTGGTGCCACTCCTGGGCAGGTGGTCTTGGGTTACAAAAAAAAGCAGGCCAGTAAGCAGTATTCCTCCATGATGGACTGTTACTGAGACGTGTAAGCTGAAGTAAACTCTTTCCTCTCCAAGTTGTGTTTTATCACAATGATAGAGGTCAAGCTAAGGCAATTAATGTTTGTAAAAAAAAAAAAAAAGACAAATTCCACAAGTGTTTTACAGATTTGTCAGTTTTAAAAAATTATGTGTCGTTTATAGAAAAAGTAGTAATAAAGTTTTTCTTTCTTCTACTGTAACTATTCCTCAATGTGTTTCACAAATCAAAGGAATCTACGAGCTGGGATGGTGGTAGATGACCACAATACTAACCCTTATGAGGCTGAGGCAGGAGGATAGAAGCCAGCCTGGACTACAGAGCAAGACCTTGACTCAAAGAAAAAAGAAGAAGAAAGAGACCAAAGTCGCCACATAAAGAGAAACGTCAGGGAAATCAATTCTACGGACAGAAGGGCTGTAAGACACAACTTCATAAATACTTGAACAAAGGGGCCCATTCACATCCTGAGAGCTTTGCGGAGAATTTAGTAAATGGCTATATGGCAGAATTCATATTTCACGACCTTCCATAGCTTATAGTTAGAATTTTAAAACAAATCTTAGTGTGACACAGGGACAGAAACACAGAATGACAAAGGAGGTGCTGAGGGGTTGGGACAAGGTGTAAAATTCAGTAGTGGAAAACCACACCCACAAGCTTATTACCTTCTTATTTAGCCAGTGCCAGAGCTGGAGGACAGGGGAAAGTGAGAGAGAAGATAAGAACAGTGGGATATCATTAGAGAAGGCAACAACAGTATGGAGAGAAAGTCTCTAAGAGCAGGGAGGAAGCTGTCGGGAAAGGAGAGGAAGAAAGTGCATTACAGAGCTTAACACAATGTTACAATCGGGGTGGCTGAAATGACAACCACAGGTGTCGCTGTAACACCTACCCTGCAGAGCCTATGCCCAGCCAGCCCTCTACCTACTAAGCACCTGCCTGTGCCTGTCAGCTTGCTCTGCTGGCTTCCCCTTCCTACCACTGTGTCACAGATACTTCTCTATACAAGCTGTAGTCACAGCTAGCACCCAATACACCAGACACATAAGATCTTGCCCATATGAACTCAGTACACACAACCATATTATGGGGTAAGTGCTGTTACACCCATTTCATTGATAATGAAACCAAGGCACAGAGAACTCAAGCCAGCCATCTGTCCAAGGTCACAGGGCTACTAAATACCCAAAGTGGGAGCCAAAGGTGGAGTGTGGATCTAGATCCCATGTCCTTTAGCCAGTTTCGCCACTAAGTTCTCAGAAATCACCACCTCTTGGCAGTCAGTCGAGCCTCTGTCTCTGGGGGTCCATGACTGGTTAAGTTTTCCTTAACTCAGCACAGTATCTAACATACAAGAATCACTCATAAAAAAAAAAAATCCACCCTGAGCCACTGTCTCATTGCCTAATCGTAACCAAGTTATGTCAGCTGTCTGGATTACATTCTGGTCCTCATCAAAAGAAGTCAGTCTAGGTGCTCACTCCTTCATAAGAAAAATAACCACCATTGTGTCCCATTTCAGTCCACCCAATCCTCATGTGAACCACAATTCTAAGCCTCACATTTTCATGGAGAACTAGCTTTGAAGTACACGATCAACCACACGTTGTGAAATGGAACGCATAAAATCCACTGACGTAGTCAACCATACAATACCTTGGTATCGACTTTCAGCAAGAACTTTCCAAGCCCGATAATCGGCCATGGCGCTAAGGCCTTCTGCCGCTCCTTCAGGAAGCACTCGATAACCTGCCACCACACGAGGCAGCGTTTCTCCAGGAAGCCCACCACTCCAAAGTGAATCACGAGCTTTTTGATTATCCAGGCTACAGAGGAGATACAAGCACATGTCAAGGGAGAACATGAAAAAGTTCCTTAGCCTCCATTCTAAACAGTAGAGCCAGCACTAAAACAAGACCATGTAAAAAAAGGAACGGGGAGGATCCCAGGTATTTAAACAGAAGGGACCGGACAGGTGTCTTAGGTTTTCTCTTACTGGGAAGAGACACCACGACCACAGCAACTCTCACAAAGGAAAACATTTCACTGGGTTCGGCTTAGGGCTTCAGAGGCTGACTGCATTACTGTCTTGGTGGGAAGCACGGTGGTGTGCAGGCAGGAACGGTGCTGGAGGAGGAGCTGAGAGCTCTACATCTTTGAAGCCACAGGAAGAGGCCGAGACTCACGAGATATGGCATGAGCTCCTGAGACCTCGAAGTCCGCCCCCAGTGACACACTTCCTCCAACGATGCCACACCCGCTCCAACAAGGCCACACCCAGTAGCGTCACTCCCTGTGGGCCATGCATTCAAACACAGGAATCTATGGGTGCCATTCCTATCCAAACCACCACGCCAGGCATACTTCCAAGTAAGCCCCACTAACCAAACATCATCCTGACTTTGGAACTGAATCGCAGGGTGAGTCAGGGCTCACTGTCCAGCCTACAAACATCATGAACTACTAGGGCTTTCATAGTTTCCCCCTGTCCGCCTAAGAAAAGCTGAGCCCCAAGGACTCTGCATCACTGCAGAGTATATCTTCAGCTGTACCCGTTTCCTCACATGCTGTTGCTCTGTGCATCTGAACAGAGTGGCCTCTCTCTTCAACAGAGAGACCAACTATTACACCCAACTAGGAAGAGGCCAGAAGAAGGGTTACTCATTAGAGAGGGAGGATTTAGGTAACTGTTTCTTTCCACTATAATGTCTCTAACTCCTGGGACCAATATTCTTAACCCCAACCTTGTAATTTGCAGGGTCAATGTGGTTCATATGTATGGATGCTTGGGCCCAAGTTAGTGGAACTGTTTGGGAAGGATTAAGAGGTGTGGCCTTGCTGGAGGAAGCAGACACTAGTCGTAGGCTTTAAGGTTTCAAAAGTCCATGCTTGTCCCAGAGTGCACACTGAATGTTCGTGTGTGCGTGCCTGCCCCCTGCCTGTCTCTGCCTCTCTAGAGAGAGCTTTGCCTCATGGCCATTGTCTCAACATGTAAGCTCTCAGCTACTACTCCAGCTCCACGCCTGCCTGCCTGCTGTCACGTTTCCCACCGTGAAGGTCATGGACTCAGGTCCTCTGAAACGATGATGAGCCTCTAATTAATGTTCTCTTTTATAAGCTGCCTTAGTCATCGTGTTTTGTCATGGCAATAGGAAAGTAAAACAGTCAGTGTGACCTAACAGTTCAAAAATTCCTTCATTAGGTTTTTTTCTTTTTTAACTGGTTTTGAAACAGGGTCTCTCTATGTATTCCTGGCTGTCCCGCAATTCTCTATGGTTCTTGCAGAGGACTTGGGTATGTGTGGCTCAAACTGTCGGAAACTCAGGTTCCAGAGAATCTAAAACCCTTTTTTGACCTCTACGGGCACACATATTCAGACACTCATACACATAAAATAAAAATAAGTGTTTTTCTCATGATCTAAATACAAACATACAACTACTTTAAGTAAGATGGCAACAAAATTCTATCAAATACTAAAACCCCACTGCAAGAAAGGAGGAAAAACGTCTTTGGCAACGAGATAAAACCATACTTAACCAAATAACAACCTGCAACAGGCACCGGCAGCAGCTGCACGATCCACAGGTTCAGCCAGAGCTGGACAGCAATGATGGCCCACACGAGAGACACGAAGTAGATGTCACTCGCTTTCTTCTTTCGGAGAAACGTCCCCACCTCAGACCTCTGTCTGCCCAGAGTGGGCGAAGGAGAGGAAGGTGAGGACCGAGAAGAGGATGGAGAGGAAGCGGACAGTGCTGGGGGGAGCTCTCCCCTGTCCGTGGGCTCTGAAAAAGGCAAAGACATAAGTCACGCCCTGTCTTAGGCCACATGAGAAAAGAACAGCGTGAAATGTACTTCACGGGTGTGTGTAGCAGGGTTACATCCAGTTCAAGAAACTGAGGATTTGCACTGAGACAAACTTGTGCAGACTACTGTCAGCAGGGTTTTAATCTAGGCAAGTCAGACTTTCTGGGAGACAGCAAATGTTCTCCTTTTATTCCACATGAGCTGAGTACTTTTTGAGGTTCCTTTTTATCGTGTTTGTATGGATGTTTTGCCTGCGTGTGTCTGTCTGTTCTCATGGGTCAGGGTTAACAGTGACGCTGGTGATAACCTGCTTTCGTTTGACTTTGCTCTGCCTGTTTGATCTGGAAACTCCAGGTCAGTGGTAATGATAAATGCCAGCAGAAGAGTAACTCTATAACCTGAGCGTCAACTGCCTCTGCTTTGGAAACACGGTTTCATGATAAGAATAGCGGTGTGTGTTTCTATTACTGAATGGCTTTCTCCTAAACTATGCCTTCCTTAACACACGCACTAAGTTAGTTTTTCAATAAGCGCTTGCTCTGCAGGGGGACAGGAGGATGGTCCAACTAGTAAAGGGCTTGGCACACGAGCACAACTACCTGGATTCAGATCCCCCTCGCCCACAGAGATGGGCTACAGTACGAGTCTGCAATCCCAGTGCTGGGAAAGTAGGGACAGGGAGACCTCTGGAGCTCGCTGGCAAGCAAACCAAGTCTAATGGTAAGCTCCAGGTGCCATGAAAGACTTCACTCCAAAAACTGAACAGTGACTGAGGAAAACCCTGGCGTGGAACTCCGGTCTACACACATGCATACACTGTGAACAGACACAACACACACACATTTACTGACCACACACACTACTACAAAAGGGGGGGGTTGCTGTAATATTCTCCACCTCTAATTATCCCTGGCACTAGTAAGCGTCTTAGCACAAACTGGAACACACTTACGTGTAGGGGTGAGATCCACAATACTGTCCACGCCCAAAGGGGCGGGGACAGGGGATGGGCACAGGTGAGATATTTAAGGACAGTAAAAGGAAAACCTCTCCTGGAAGTGAGCCATGTTCCCATGAACAGCTTCTATCCCTGTTCATCTTGTAAGCATATAGAATAAAAATATTAGACCTCTTTTTCAGATAACGTTATTGCCATCATCACTTATACTCTCCTGAACTCTGTAAATAGTATGGTATGGTATGGTATGGTATGGTATGGTATGGTATGGTAAGTTTTGGTTCCAAACCTGGTATGAATATACCAGATGGACCTCACAGAAGCCAGGCCCTACAGAGCAACCAGAGGACCTGCTTTGGGAAGCCAGTAAATATATACAACATAAGGCATTCAAATTGTACTTGTGCTCTGAGACAACAAAAAGAATGCCAGAGGGGGTTAAAAAATGCATAAAAATGTAGAAAAGAAAAACACCCCACTATAGACAGGGAGTTAGGAAGGGAAGAAAACACATTAAAAAAAATAGTACAAAATAAAACCACGTAAGGGGCTGGAGAGATGGCTCAGAAGTTAGGAGCATTGGCCGCTCTTCCAGAGGTCCTGAGTTCAATTCCCAGCAACCCCATTGTGGCTCACAACCATTTGTAATGAGATCGGGTGCCCTCTTCTGTCATGCAGGCAGAACACTGTATATATAATAAATAAATAAATAAACCTTTTGAAAGAAAGGAAGGAAGGAAGAAGGAAGGCAACGTAAAACTGGCTGCTGGAAAAGGAACACAAAATAAAAAAACAAGATAAGGAGAGCACAGAGTTGGGGTAGAACTATGGATGGTCAATGGGACACTACGGAGAGATAAATAGTATAGTACAAGACATAAGAAGAGTCTCTTAAAGAGGCAAGGGAAAGAATCAGAATAGGAAACCCAAAAAGGTAAACCATCAGAAGCATGAGAAACACACACACACGTATGCACACTCACACACACTCCATGCACACATACTCACATGCACACACTCACTCTCACACACACACACACTCACAGGAAAAGGACACTGTAAACACAGTGGAGGAGCACAAGCCCGAGCCCCATTTTGGACTGCCGGCCTCCTCCTTCACTCTACCCTACTTGCATTTCATTTTCTAGAGTATTCCGAGCAGCTCCATGGCATCAGTCACCTGCAGGCTGAGGGGAGGGCTGGTCTTCGCCGCTTGACTCATACCCTGTGATGGAGATGGCCAAGTTTGCAAGTGTAGAAGCCGCCATGGAGATCACTTGTCCTGGTAATTCTGCCCCTGAAAGGGGTGGGGGTGGGGGTGGGGAGGAAGAAACGCATTTTTTTAATCCTTTATGGAAATAAAAACAAAAGTCAACTTAAACCAAAACTATTTTCAATAGCAATAAGCCAAAATCGTGATTTCTCAGAAAGAATACTTCAAAATTGTCAGCTGCAAGTCCCTGAAAACTGTGTCTTGTTCATTTGAAATCCCAATGATGGTGAAGTATGTCAGACACTTTGCCTAAACAAATAAATTCAAAATGCTGGGCTTTCATCTTTTAATAACTTTACCAGATGGTTCTAATGCACACTTCTATGCTGGAAAACATTCACACCCAGTTAAAATGTCTTATACCATTTTGTACTATTAGTTCTAATACAGTATAGGACAGGCAAAATTTAATGTTCACAGTAATGATGTAACATAAATGAATCTGTAAATACACGGCTGGATATTGTGCAAAAACACACATCTACAGAGTACAAAATTCAACAAAGGCAAAATCCACCATTGGGAAATCTAAAACAGCATCTGTTGGATGATACCAAAGTATATTAGTTGCACTGGATTCAAATCAAGCATCTACCAGCAAATGAGGTATGTCTTTGATGGTCAGTCTCTTGACAGGCTATGCAGACAGGGCAGACTAGCTCATACAGCACTGGGGTGTAGTATACTTTACTTCTCAAGACTCCCTCAGGAGCCAGCATGTCATGTGCAAAGCATTTTCCACTAAGCAAGTAAGCAAGTATGCCTGTGCACGATTCAGCAACAGAGTGATACACTGTAATCTGGAAGCAGCACAGCTCCCACAACAAACACTCTACAGGCCTGCGATTTTTCTGCAGCAACTTGGTGAAAGCTCCAGAGTTTCTCAAGCCTGATGTCTAAGTTAACGAACGGCAAGCAGCAGAGGCATGGCCTTCTGTCCAAAACACTCTGTGGTTGCTGAACACCTCCCCTGACTGCATTGCTTCCATCTATGCCAGAGGCACCAGTCAGCATTTGGCTTCCTAAAAATACTTAAGCACAACCCGGGCGTTGGTGGTGCACACCTTTACTCCCAGCACTCGGGAGGCAGAGGCAGGCGGATCTCTGTGAGTTCGAGTCCAGCCTGGTCTACAGAGCGAGTTCCAGAATGGACTCGAAAGCCACAGAGAAACCATGTCTTGAAAGACAAAACAAAGCAAACAAAAAACCTTAATCACAATTTCCAGATGCTAATGAGTACCCCTACTCATACCAGCTGCAGTGGATTCTACAACTTAAGGACACTGGCCATTCCAATCACTAAGTCACAGCCACTCACACAGACAGGGCCTTACTTTTGGAAAGCCTGAAGACAAAGAAGTCTGTCGATCATGGAAAATAAAACACAACTCCAGGAGGTCAAAGAATTTTTAGCTCCAATTAACACCACACACCCTACACATTAAAGGCTGGCCATCTGCCTGAGATAAGGAGTCAGAGCCTCGAGGGGCTCTGTGGTCAATGCAGCCACTGAAATGCAGAACCACCCAGCTTAATCCCATCACATCCTCCAATAAATTCCCCTGAGAGAAGTCTATTCTAAGGCACTCAGAGAAAAATTCTCACTCACAGTTTGGGAAGAAGACATAAGCTGCATGTCTATGCTGAGACATTAGTCTCCTGGCCTATACACCCAAGTCCTTCAACAGTAGTCTATATACTGTGTACTAAGTAAGGCAAGCACCAATTGAAGGAGGAAGGTGGTACCTTTATGTCTGTCATGACCTCATTGTTGACCAGTACTGTGTGCTGTGGATAAAGACAAAAACCCAGCTCCCAAAGTCTAGTGAAGAGACACGCCTGCATTAAAGAACCACATAAAAATGTAAGTGACAAATTAAGACTATTACACATGGAATAGGTGTTTTATTACCTAGGGCAAGAACCTGAAATAATCTGAAAAATCAGGGAATGATAGGGGAAGTCCTGTGTATTTGTCAATAAATCACTGTTGGCCAATAGGGAACCAAGATAGGTGGGACTAGGAGTTGAGGAGGACTCTGGGTAGGAGAAACACAGGGAAGTCGAGATGGGGTAGGAAGCCCGGAAACCTCTCCAGTAAGAGAAATACTTAGATTAACAATTATGGGATATTAAGTCAGAGCTAGCCAGTAAGAAACAAGCAACGCCAACAGCTTCATAATTAATATAGCCTCCTGTGTGTTTATTTGGGGCTGATGCGGCTCTAGAACCAGGCTGGCAGGAAAGCTTCTCTCAAGGAAGGCTTCTCTTTACAAGGGAAGGGTTCTCTCTTTAAAAAAAATTTTTTTTAATTGGGTATGTATGGGTGCTTTCCCTACAATGTTTACTACACGTATGCAATGCCCACATGGGCCAAAAGAGGGTGTCAGATCTCCTGGGACTGAAGTTACAAACAGTTGTGAGCCACTGTGTGGGTGCTGGGAATTGACTGACATAGGTCCTCTGGAAGAGCAGCCAGTGCTCTTAGTCTCTAAGCCATCTCTCCAGCTCCAAGGAAAGGGTTCTCTTTGAAATGAAAATATAATTGATGTTGTAAGGGAGGAAAGGGAATTAACCAAACAAATGCCAAGAATAATCTCGGGATAGAAGGAACCTAGCAGGAAGGCTATGGAAAGAAGCTGGCGTTGAGAACAACAGCAAAAGAATGTCAGTGCACTGAGAACACAGTCAGCTAGTGTGACACCATGACCGAATAAGCAGCTATAGCCAGTATACCAAATGACATTAGGCAAAGAGATCATCTTAAGAGCTTTACTCTTTATCCAACAAATAAATAAAAGCACTGGAATCCTAAGGAGGGCAGCATTCTCCACCTCCCCCTGCTGATACAGTAAAATATATACAGACCCATGTGTAGCTCCAAGAGGTGACCCCTGGGGGCTTTTTGCTCAGTATCTCACAAAAGCAACATTTTCAAAACTGTCCTGTGATATTCCAGTCAAGACAGCAGCAGGGACATGAGCCACATGACAGTGTCTTCAGGACAAGCATCCCTCCACTGCTCTGTCAGAGCCCACCCAGCTGCCTCCTGCCCTTACCTAAGGGACCAGTTCTGAGATGTACTAAGATCACTCTTGCTTTTCTGGAGGATGGATAGAGGAAACATAGACGAGGTCTGCAGAAGCAGGAGGTGGCTGGATTCAGAGGAGCTCACACAATGATAGACAGATCGCAGCCAAAGGTGCCACTGCTCCAGATTATCCAACTGTCAGGGATTGTCAAGGACTACAGATCTCTGAGAGGAAACTGCAAAACACCAGGGTGAAGATTTTGGAGACTGACATTTCACTAAGACCTGCAGACAGAAGTTTCACAAACTGACTACAGCAGAGATATTGCAGGAAGAACCCCCAAACAAACAAAAACAAACAAAAAGTGTGGGGATACCTAATAACCTTGGACAGTAAAGCAGAGGGAAAAAGATACAAAATAAGCCTGTACTCTCTCCTCTAAACTAAACAACAGTCAGTGGTCCTGAATAAGCAATGTAGTAAGAGGAGGTTCACTTGAGATATCCTAAAAAGCAGCTTCCACAGTGACTTATATTTACTCATGTAAGAGGAGTCTGGGCCACTTGCTAACTAACATGGGCCTCAAGACCCTGAACTCAATCCAACACAATGCTAAAACCAGCAGTTACAATCAACATAGGAAGTAAAGTCAAATACTGTGGAATGTTTGAGGGAGCACAAGGATGAAAACCTAAATAAGGGCAGTGGTGGCGTGTGCCTCTAATCCCAGCACTCCAGCCCTTGGGAAGCAGAAGCAGGCAGGGGCCAGCCTGGTCTACAGAGTGAGTTCCAGAGCAGCCATGGTTACACAGAAAAACCCTGTCTCAAAAAACAACAACAACAAACAAACAAACAAACAAAAGAGGGACCCCTAAGCATTCTGGGAGCTCAGGAGACAGTTTCCATATGAGTTGTCTCTCAAGAACACTCGATCACGCTATTCTGTAGCTCACGTAAACAACAGCAGCCACATAAAGGAGGGGAACAAGTCTGTCCTGGGGAAAGGAGAAAGAACGGAGTGTAAACGGTGGTGGCAGAGACGTGAGCCAAAGACAAAGCCACAAAGAAAAAGCCGCAAAGAAAAAGCCGCAAGCTCTCTGAAGGGCTTCAAGGAGTCTAGAAGGCCGGGACGCGAGCCTATGAGAGGAGTGGACAGGTAACTGGAAGACAGAGATCAGAGAGTAGAAAGAAGCAGTTTGTATATGTGGAGGAAGGATAATTCAAGGGCCGGGGAGGCAGCAAGGGCACCTGGGCGTGAACCCAAGTCCTTACTCCGTGGGCAGTGGTGGGGGAGGCCTGGGGTGACAAGCCCCGCCTCCTCACGGGCACAGTGAGCTCCGCATGAACCCTGTTCTGCAGGTGACTGAGCTCTGGGTGCTTTCCTGGCATGCAGGAGGCACTCAGCCCATCTCAGCCATCATCAACGCCAAGCACGGCCACTGACGGCAAACTGTGCCCGTGAGCCACTGGGGTTCCCAGTGCTTCTAGAGCACCTCTGCGGCTTCCATCCCGTCACTTGTTAATAGCACAGCTAGGCCCTGACTCCTCCCTAGCAGACACGCCTATACCTTCTTTCAGAGTTAAGTCGCATTCTGCACACCATAGACACAGATCTGAAAACTAAAACCAGCAGAACCACAGCGAGAAGCTACTCAATTTGCTAGTGTCGACAAAACGCACAGTAAATATTCAGTGAAAGCGACGCAACAGCATTGTGGGTCACCCATGAGTGGCAAAGGAGCACAGAGAAAGCCAACAGGAGGCACTTGAAAAATTTTGGACCCAAGACCTGGTAACTTCTCCTCTCAAACAGACACACATTTCAGTAAGCTCTATCTATGTGCTATGTTTCTGCACTTCAAAACCCCAAGGTCTGGACAGATGAATGCCAGGAAGGAGATTCTAGGTAATGATGCCATGGTACGAGATTTAAAAACCAGCTAAAAATAGGCCCTATAAACAAGGGAGCATGACCTTGGGCTCAAGGACTGG